TCCCAGAATTCTCCAGCCAGCAGACCTCTGCTGGCTGGAGAATTCTGGGAGTTGAAGTCCACAAGTCTTAAAGTTGCCAAGTTTGGGAACCACTGGTTTAGAGAAACACTTTTGTTTAAAACATTTTTAATTAAAGGTCCTTTACCCCCACTAGGTGGCAGCAGCTGTTTTTCCATGTCAAGGTGTTCAGATTCACTTAGCTAAGCAGCCAGGAAACTCATATTCTTTTTATCCTACCCCAGTGATGGCGAACCTTTTCGGCACCAGGTGCCCAAACCGGAACATCCATGCGCGCCGGAGCCCTGGAAACTCAAAGATCAGCTGGCCGGTGCGCATGCAAATGCCGGCCACCTGGTCTTCTGGTTTCCGGTGCCAGCTGGTCTTTGCGCATGCCAGAGCCTCAGAAACGCGCACTGGCCAGCTGGTCTTTGTATCTCCAGAGCTCCAGCACGCGAGAAGATCACCTGGGTGGCGCACATGTACATGCCGGAAACCAGACGAGCACCTGGTGATGGCGTGCCATAGGTTCACCATCACTGTCCTATCCAAACCCTTCTTTTCCTTCTGCAAATCTACAGTAATCATAAACATTTACTATAAATGTATGGACTGGGGGCTCAAGAACAGGACAAACAAGATTAGCCTTCAAGGATATTTTCTGTGAAAATCTATAAGTCGGCAAAAGGTTCATGCTTTAATTGCAAATGGTCTCCGGTTCCTTGGAGCTTTCGTCCAGATATTCTATAGCAGCTGATGGTGGAAAGCTCTTCTTGAGATTCTAATTCACTGCTGCTCTTTAGAGTTGATAGTAAAGTGGAATCTCAGGCCAGAGGTGATCCATCTAGTCAATATCCCTATTTCTCTTAGTCGCAAACGGATGTCTCTAGAAGACTTAGGAGCAGGACATATGAGCAGGCAAGTAGCTCCTTCCTCTCTGTTGTTGTCATTGTGTAATTTCTGGCATTCCGATGTAAGCTGCTGCCAGTCCTGGAGGTGGGAGGGTCAGTAGTTTGGTTGAATAGCTTCCAGATGTTCTAGAAGAACATTGTCTGGTGACAAGAGAGAGTTCACCCCAGAACTTGGTACAAGTAGTCTTTGATTTACAACCATTTGTTTAGGGGCTGGTTGAAGTTACAGCGGCAGTTGAAAAGAGTGACTTACAATCATTGTTCACACTGCTGCCATTGCAGCTTCCCCATGGCCACCTGATTTACATTTGGATGCTTGGCCAATGGTTCATATCTATGGCGGTTGCAATGTCCTGGGGTCATGGCATCCCCTTTTGCAGCCTTCTGACAAGCCAGGTCAAGGGGGAAACCAGATTCACTTAACAATCATGTTACTAACTTAACAACTGCAATGGTTCACTTAACAAATGTGGCAAAGAAAGTTGTAAAATGGGACAAAACTCACTTAACAAATTTCTCGCTTAGCTACATAAATTTTGGAATCAATTGTGGTTGTAAGTTGAGGACTACCTGTAATGTTTGATGTTCTCTTAAGGAGCAGCTTATTCATCCAAAATGACTCTGGGCAGCATACAATAACCAAACAAAATAATATAAAATCAGGGATTATAAAAACAGTCATAAATATGAACAGTCTTTATTACAAATCTAAATATTGTTTAAAAATTAAGAGTTATACAAAGCACAGAATGAGTATATAAACCACATACAGCTAATCCTTGATTTACAATCATTTGTTTAGTGAGTTACAATGGCAGTGAAAAAAGTGACTTATGTATGATCGGTCCTTGCCCTTATGACTGTCACAATATCCCCATGGCCATATGATCAAATTCAGGTGTTTGGCAAATAGCAACACGTTTATGATGGTTGTAGTGTCCTGGGGTCTTGTGATTTCCATTTACGATCTTCCCCAGCCAGCTTCCAACAAGCAAGATCAGTAGGGGAAGCAGATTCACTTAACAACTAGGGCAAAAAAATGTTCTTGTAAAATTGTATGAACTCACTTAAAAACTGCCTTGCTTAGCAACGGAAATTCTGGTCCCAGTTGTGGTTGTAAGTCAAGGGCTACCTGTATCAACCGCAAGATAAGGGAGCCCCCTTAAGATATTGCCGGTTCTCACTTAACAACATACATTTATTTTTATAACCAGGTTGAAATCAATTTGAGGAATTCCTCAACATTAAGACAGGATGAAGCTAACCTGAATTTGAGGGTGGGAAATGTTCCGTAAGGCCACAGCAGAGAAGGCGTAGGTCTCACACAGATAGTAGTCATGGCATGCCCTGTCTGGTGTATCTAATGGGATTGGCTGATGTAATTGGGGAGACCAGTCCCTTAGATAACCCTGTCCCATGCCATGAATCCAAGTTAGTGACTTCCGTATTTCTTCCTACACTAAATGCTAGGATAGGCTACTCTAGAGCAGGGCACTCCAACCTTGGCAACTTTAAGACCTGTGGACTTCAACACCCAGAATTCCTCAGCCATAGGAATTACCGTATTTTTTGTATTTTTCAGAGTATATGATTATACTCCGAATTGTCATATTTTCGGAGTATAAGACGTGCCTTTTCCCCCCTAAGAGGGCGTGGAAATGTTGATGCATCTTATACACTGAATACAGCTATTTTTTACCTCCCAAAGCACCGTCCCAGCATCCCATTTTTGCGAAAAACAGGCCGCTTTTTGCAAAAACGGAGGGTTTTTTGCCTTCCCTCAGCCCCCAGCAGCTGTCCGCAGACTTCAGAAGGGCTGGGGCAAGGCAAAAATGCCCCTGTTTTGGCAAAAAATGGGCCATTTTTTGCAAAAACAGAGGCTTTTTTGCCTTCCCTCATCCCTCAGCATCCCTTTGCAGACTTCAGCAGGGCTGGGGCAAGACAAAAGTGCCCCCATGACGTTTTTGCCTTGCCCCAGCCCTGCTGAAGCTTACAGAGTGCTGCTGGGGGTTGAGGAAAGGCAAAAAAATTTTTTTTCTTACTTACCTCTTTGAAATCTTGGTGCGTCTTATACACTGGTGCATCTTATAGTCCAAAAAATACGGTAAATTGATTTTACTAGAGCTCTGCCCACCCAGGAAACCCAAGCACAGCTTCGCATTGTGTGCAATGGCAACTTGTGTCTGAGTGAAGGATTGTTTTCCTGCTATTGACAAATCCTTTGCAGTTATCATATGTCTAGTTCCCCCCTCCCCAAAATACTTGGATGTGGAAGCAGCTACACTGGGACTTAAGAAGCAGTGTTGTGTGTGTATGTGTGTGCGTGTGCGTGTACATGCATGTATCCAGTGATTCTCAGACTTGGAAGAAATTTATTACCGACCTAGACGTGTGCAAGTTTGTATAGCTTAAAGTATAATTTCTGCCTCACTCCATGCCTGCCCTTTGGGCAAAATTGGATCGTCTACCATTTTAAACAGGTGCCTCTTAAAACGAACCCAAAGCTGCTGAGTAGATGGTTTGGGGGTTCTTCTGTCAGCTTCCCTGCTGTCTTTCCAAGGTCCTTCTCTCCCACCCACCCCGCCTCTCAACAAGCTTGCAACTGAACCTGCCCTCCTCCGTCATCGGCATCCACACCTGGGTTGGGTTTTTTTTTTTTTTTTTCTCCTTTGCTTCTCTGTGCAATAGAGTCTAAAATGCAGATCTTTCTCATGCAGCCTCCGGCTTCTGATCCATTCTCCTCTTTTGGAGGAGCTGGATTCTCTGATGATCCTTTTAAGACTAAAGCAGACACTCCTGCCCTCCCGCCGAAGAAAAATATGCCTCCCAGGCCTGAGCCACCCAGTGGTGAGTTATATTTCTTTTGGGATGCTTGCTCACCAATGACAGCAAAGGGTTGGCCAGTTTTTTCGAGGGGTAGGGGTGGTGAAACTCCCCGAGTTTCCTCTAAAGCAAACTTTTTCTAGGGAGTAGCTTTTTCTCTCTCCGCCCTCCCCCCCTCCCCTATACTTTCACTTGTTTGCTTTGATTCCCTTTCACTGTTTCTGTCCCTTTCGCTCTTTCTGTTCCTCTGCTGGAATAATTGCAAGGTTTCTGGAAGCTACACATTAGTTTCTGTGCTGGGTGGCTTGAATTTTCACTTCCCAAGTTCCCAAATAAATAGGCGAATAGAAATCAAATAAAGTAATTTTATGTTTCTCTTTATTGTTTCTCCCACCACGACTTGAATAGACTGAACATTGTACGGAGTTGCTAGTTGGTCTCTTTTGTCCCTTGCTTTGCTTTTCCCCATCCTGCATGACACGGACAGGAAAAGTCACGAAATAATTTTATGACATGCAAATGTTTCTCTCTGCGGTGACCTTGTTTTACATGCACCTGAGTGCGTGCATGCATGCATGCATGCACACACGAAATTCAAAATCCCCCTTAGAAATGTCATCGGGCTGGCAGGTTCTCTTACCCTACAGCTCATAGTATCAATAAGTACTGCTTGGGTTTAGGCTTGGCTAAAGAGATCCTGGATTGCCCAATTTGGCCAGCATGGGACACGAGTAAAACAAATTACGCTTCTTCCTCTACCTTTCCAAATCTGGAGAGGATTCATTGACCTCCACAGGCTTCTTCTCACCCTGCTACTACAGGTCTTAACACAGGTTGCAGGCAGTGCTGTGCTATGTTGCTCAACTGTCCAGAAAGGAGCCGTGTAACTGTACCATGCTAATGTGAAGAATCTCAAAAGTGTTTCCCTTTCAAGAGTTGCTCATTTCAGTCATTTGGGCATCGAAACTCCCCTCCCTTTTTTTTTTCATTAAATATCTGCTAAAAATCGTCAGTTAAGACCTCTCCTAAGAGTTCAAACAGATTATTAGTGCAAAAACAAAAAAGGAACCCAACTGCTGATAAGAGATCTTTCCGTGCTTACCGCTATCTAGCTTCTAGGTAAAAGTTGTTGAGCCTCAAAAGAGAGAAACAGATTTTTTTTCTAAGTACAGGAAGTGTCTGTGTGGGTGTCAGTGATTGCAAGTCAGTTTAGTGTAGCCCTTGTAGGTCTGTGATCCTGAGACCAGCTGCATCAGCCCCACCCAGACTCACATCCTCTTAACAGGGTTTGAGCAGCAGGGCTCACCAGCAATATCGGAAAGCGCATTCTTCTGTTGACACAGAAGAGTAGGGTGACAGCGTTCTTCTAAGCCTGCAAGGAACAACAATAGTGCAGAAAACCTGCCATTCTTTTCAAAACATTCATAAGGCCCCATCCAGGTAATGGCTGTCTGAATCCAGTTTGAATCTACTTTTAAAAAAAAAAAAATTGGCCAAGCTTTGCTCCGATTATATTTTCTGGGCATGAGTGTGACTTCATGTATTTCTGCCCGTAATTACATTGCAGCAGGCTTGCCTGCTTTTCCCTTCCTGAGCAAATCCACCAGAGACGTGACACAGACCCAGGTGCTCAACCCGGGATGTTAGGAGAAGCCGTTCAGGATTCTGGAGGGCATGTCTGCTGTGCACAAAACCAACATTTGGACATTTCCCATCATCTCCAGGTGGATTTGGTTCAGCATCCTTGGGCTGCAAGTGCCTCACTGTGTTACGGAGACATGAGGCTAGAGAGGTGGCAAGGGGTTCCGTCGAAGCCAAGGGACACAATGAAAGAGGGAACATTTTGAACATAGACAAGGATGCTTTTTGGTGGTGAGCCAGTATCCAGCTATTGCAAGGAAATTAGATGGCTTTCGGTTGAGCAGATCAATCACAGTCTAATTGGAAGGCCACCCTGGCTGAGGCTTCCCAGAATTGCAATCAAACACAATGTGAGATTAAAGCAAGTCTTTTCTAAAAGGTGTTGCTGCTATTTTATCAGTAGGATGAGAACAGAGCCATTTTTCCCCTCCCTGCAGATTCTAGAACTAGATGAATATGCTTGCAAGATTCTGGGGATGAGCCGGAAATAGAAGGGAGGCTGTTTTCTCCTGACTGAGAGGGGCTTCCCTGTATGTTAACAGACATTTCAAGCAGTGCTCTAGTAAAAGTGCTTTCAGGAGCTCAAAGGGAATTTGCAAGATAAGCTTCCTAATCTGTTAAGATGTGTTTTCAGAGTCCATAATTTAAGAAAGCTTAACTGATTAATTTGTTGTGCTGAGATTGCAGTTTGGGATCAGGTGCCTCACCTGACCTGAAATTATGTGGCTTTAACACTGCTGAGCACCAACATTGAAAGAAAGAGGCTTGCACACGTGTGAATGTTGGAAATCAGTTTCAAAGACCGAACATGGTGCAAGATTTGGTATATCACAGATCTTTGAAACGGAATCCTCAAACAACAAAGATATGCCCACGTGCACAGATATGTCGTTAGCCTGTTCCACCTTCATGAAAAGTTTGCTTTGGTGAGAAACTGCCTTTGCAGAGTTGGCACCGTTGCTTGCCTCAGTGGTTAACGCCTCTGCTTGTGAATTCAGGACCTAAATTCTATTTTCCCATCACTGGAGGCCATTTCTTGTGCTGCAATATTTTTTAAAATCCCATGATGCATCACCGGGCCACTTTCGGTAGCTGGGTTGATCTATTTGGACACTTAAATTATTATACCTTTTTATTTACGAGCTACTGGTGTTTTCAAGACGGTATCTAGCTTTCAGGTTTCACAGGTATCGTCACAGGTTTTGTGGCTGGATTTTCTCCACTTGTACCGTTGCCTTGTTTTAATGGCTAAGGGGAAATTCTCAAAAAGGGTCTGGGATTGTCCTTTATGTGCAGGGTGAGCATTCTAGCCCCCACTCCACCCCCTACAAATTGGACAGCTTAGAGTGGCTGCACTTGCAGAGATGAGAGATTGCATGCTAGATGGGGAAACTCGTGTTTGCCTTGTTTTTGGCAGTCTAAAAAGGTTGGGTGGGCAGAGAAGGCAAAAAAAGGGAGGGGGGGGAACCCAGCAGTGCCCTCAGCTTGCAGAGCCAAGGTGGCGCAGTGGTTAAATGCAGCACTGCAGGCTACTGCTAGATCAGCAGGTCAGCGGTTCAAATCTCACCGGCTCAGGGTTGACTCAGCCTTCCATCCTTCCGAGGTGGGTAAAATGAGGACCCAGATTGTTGGGGGCAATATGCTGACTCTCTGTAAACCGCTTAGAGAGGCCTGAAAGGCCTATGAAGCGGTATATAAGTCTACTGCTATTGCTATTGCTATAGCTGTCCCAGGCAGTCCATTGAAGTACCTGCAAATGCTGGGGAAGCTGAATGTGCACACAAGTAGCTCGGCTTAGCTCAGCTCCACCAGAAAGCTCTCTATTCCTAGATTGCACAGAGAACTTTCTGAGGGAGCTGAGCTGCTTGTGGGCACATTCAGCTTCCCCAGCATTTTGCAGGTACTTCGATGGACTGCCTGGAACAGCGTGGCAAGCTGAGGGCACTGCTTTTTTTCTTTCTTTCTTTCTGCCCCGCCCATTTTTTTTTCTTTTGGCCTCTTGTGACTATAGGCAGGAAACCCCACCTGAAAAGGAGGAGGCTGCCGTGAGATCTGGCAGAATGGGGGCCACTTGTGCCCATTAGCATCAGCGTCTCTGGGGAGGGACCAAGGCAGTCACAATTCTGCCTTGTGCCCTTTGAAGGGGAGAGCAGCAGCCCTGCTTGTGAAAAGATCAGGATGGAGCCCTTTCTCACCGAAAACGATCAGTGAAGGCCTCTCTGGCCATCTCAGCCGTGGCACCAATGACTTTTTCGCCCTCCCCAACAGCCTTTTAGCAGCTCTTGATACTATTTCCCAAGGTGCTTCCTGTGCAAATCTGATTGTGGTCTTGGCCTGCACACAGAGCAAGGAGAAATAGTAGAATGGGGATCCATCACTTCAAACCTATTTCCAGATGGGCCAGAAGTGTGTGAGGAGGGGAGGCTAGTGCCATTCTCTTTCAGGTTTAGGTAGTTTTCCCTTGAAAAAACATCCATTGGGGAGTCAGGCTTGAGCAAAGGGCAGAGCAAGGTGGAATAGGTTACTGCTTACCTGGAATTATTCAGGCCTCCTCCTTTCCCATGTGCAGAAGATGTTTCGGCACTGTTTTGTCCCCCCTCCTCTGCATTTCCCACTGTTTTCTTGTGTAGACTGGACCTGCTCTGTACTTTCTCAGGTGAACCCAAATGTTGATTAAAGTTCCCAAAAGTACATGGGAGGATTGAGAAAATGGCTCTTTTTTTTTTTGAGGTGGGGTGGACAAAACAGAAGAGTCTTTTTTTTAAACTGAGATCTGCCTCCTGATCTTCCTTATTTTAAGACTACTGGGAGATTGGGGGGGGGGGAGTTGTACCCAGAATAACTTGTCTAGCTTGCCCATGAGTTTGAGGTGGGCTGTGGATTGCTGTCCCTCTCTGGACACCGGAGCTTCTTGGCAGGCTGCTTCTGAAGCTGGTTTGCAGTGGGATGGCTGCTTTTGGAGAAACAGACATCCGATGCCACCCAGTGCAGCTAGAAGTTCCGTGGCTTTTCTTAAATCATGAACTTTACAACATACCGAAAGGCGGTGGGTGGACTTGGGTAGAAGGTTCACCACCTCCCAAGAAGTAGGCCATGGGAACAGTGCCTCACCGGAGAGGCCCTAGAGAGCCACTGCCAGCCAGAGCAGAAAACGCTGGGTGGAGGCTACCCCAATGGCCTCACCCCAATCGAAGGCAGCTTCGCTGGAATAGAAAAGGGAAGTTGAGCGAATCTCTGCTGCGGCAGCTGCCACAAAGCCACTCTGCACGTGCCTCCCGCTTTGAGCCTGAGGTTTGAACTGCCATGGAAGGTGCTCTGAGCAACTCTGCCAGATTAATTAGCAGGCTCGGCCAAAGGCCCTGTGCATTCCCCTCCTCTAGCCCCAGATAGATGGGAAGAAGGCCCTCCTCATCGCCCCCATGGGTCTTTCCTTAGAGCTGCAGGGGTGGGAGGGGGGGGAAAGCTGCTACTGCTTGTTTGAATTTTTTCCCCTGCATTGAAAACTGCTGTTTATCGTCATTTTGTTGAAGTGAGCCCTCTGTGTGGTTTGTGTTCACCACTTAGGCAACTGCTGAAAATCTTGTGGTTTTCAGCCAAGGGACCTGTTTTACTAGGGGGGGGGGAGGAGGAGGAGGAAGAGAAAACACATTAGGCAGTGATAACAAGAGAGTACTTAAAATATCAGCAGCAATGCGTGTTTTTTTTTCCAACCCTTGACAGCAGTCCACTTGTGGTATTGATCGTCGTAAGAAAATTATTCTAGCTTTCTTTGAACTGCATCTGGTTGTTGTTTTTTCCTCTCTTTTTTTTAATGCCTAGCCATCCTCAGTCTTACGTCCCCCTCGCCGCTCGCAGAATTCCTGAGCAGCCCCTGAAAGATACCAGATGGTATTAGATTTGTCCCAGCCAAAACAAAGAATCAAAAAACCAGGGTCTCTCAGTTGGGCTGAAACTTTTAGATATTCTTGGGGTTTTCTGTAGGATGACTTTGGTTTTGAGTAAGGCCAGACATGTCGGGGAGGGGAGACAGTTATTAAAAGCAAGGTCCCACTTAAACCTGGGCCCGGTCTGGCTATGCAAATGCCGCCCCCCCCCTCAATTTTAGCCCCTCATGAACTCACTTGTAGGGCAAAGTGGTGCCAGTGGTGGACATTTTACCTTCCTGGGTAAGAGTTAGATATTTTTTTTTCCCTATGGTAAGTAACCTTTCCCTTTCTTCCTTTTTGTTCTTTCCTTCCTTCTCCTTTTTTTTCTCTCTCTCTCAACCTTTTCCAGGTAAAAGTCCTCCTGTAAGCCAAGTCGGGTCTTCCGATTTTGCCAAGCCCCCCGATCCATTTCAGCCATTCGGGGCTGACAACAGTGACCCGTTTCAGAGTAAAAAGGGGTTTGGGGACCTATTTAGTGGAAGAGTCCCGTTTGCTCCTTCCTCTTCAAGTAAACCTCCTAAAGACTCTTCCCGGGGGTTTGCTGACTTCAGCTCTGTAAGTTAAGTTCCTTCTCTCTGCATCAACAGCTGCTTTTTCCTAAGCTGCTAACAGCAGTGGCCTCTGGGCTCCCGTTTCTGTTTCAACTGCCCCTCTTCTCCTTTTCCTTTCCACAGCTTTTTGTCTCTTAATCTTTCATGCTGTCTCTCTCTCTCTCTCTCACCTGATGTAGTTCTGTATTTACTTCTGTATTCCAACACTTCGACATATCAATAAAGAGAGTTTGAGTTTGATGATGCTGCTAATTAGAGAGGTTTGTTTGCTTGCTTGTCTAGTGGAATACTGCTTTTTCTTCCAAATTTCCAGAGTTCTTTGGAGGCCTTGAGAGGGAGCTACATCCTGAAGCTTCCTTAAGGAACTTCTGGAATCCAGAAAAAAAAATGCTGCTTATTATAGTAACGTTTTCAGCATTTTTACAACCAAACACTTTCTGTCTGTATGCCACAAATTAACATGAGGGCTAATAATGGTGCCTAGATTTTGTTTCAGCCAGTAATTTGCAAGGACACAATAGACCTTTATTTTAACACATTTAGTAGACATGTGCATTATATAACCTGAAATAAATAGCAAACAAAGCCATGTGGGAACGTAGGTAGTTTTTAAACAGCCTTCCCCTGCTTGTGGGCACCAAACATGATTAAACTACAACTCCCAGGATGCCCAACGACCACGGCCAATTACTGGGACAGCTAAGAATTAAGAATGTTATGATTGCTACTTATTTAGAAAGTGTCAATTCGGGGGCAATTGTTTTGAAGGGAATAGAGAAGACCAGAATTCTGATTGACTTCCTTGTTCAGAGAAGGACCTGTCTCAACAGTGTAATGTTTAGGAATGAGAATAATAGAATAGTAATAAATGCCATTGTTGTAGGTTTAGATGTACCAAATATGTAGAAACATGGGAGTGGGAATTTATAATCAACATATTGAACTCAGCAGTTAGCCACTGAGGATATATATGGAGAAGTAACTTTACTGCATTGTTAGAATCATCAGGTGTACAAAGTGGTCTTCTATCTGTTTCAGGCTGCAGAGTATATCTGCTGTTGCCCCTGTGGTGGCAGGGGCATCCATATGACTGATTGAAAGACAGGATGGTGATTGTAATTACACAATCGAAGCTCTATACTAGTGTCACAAAGTTGGCAATGTTAAGATGTGTGAACTTGGACTCCCAGAATTCTTTGAGTTGTATGTCCACATGTCTTAAAGCTACCAAATTAGATTATTATTTTTAACCCTGAAGAAATAGAGACTACTTGGAGCTAAGGACAATCCAATCTTTAGAAAGTTCTCAGAAGCAGTAAGGCAGAGGTCTTCAAATTTGGCAACTTTAAAACTTGTGGACTTCAACTCCCAGAATTCTGGGAGTTGAAGTTCACGTCTTAAGGTTGCCAAGTTTGAAGACCTCTGCAGTAAGGGAGTGCAGTAAAGGAAGACCTCTGCAGTAAAGGAAGCAAAGTTTCAATACTTGGGGAGTAATGTACCCACAGAAAGGTGCACGATCCATAAAATGGATGAACAAGGAGCATGCCACAGCGTTTCCCTTTCTGATCACCTCCCAGAAAAGGTTACACAGGGATATGTCCAGCCTAGTTTAGGCTAAGCAAGTAAAGATATTTCCATGGTTCAGCAGAACATTATGGAGAAGCAAAGGGTATCTGTTTAACATCCGGTTACTTACAGGTCTGGCTTCTAGTACTAGATTTTAGATGAATGCTGGTATGATTGAAGTTCAACTGATAAACAGGAAAACCCAAATAACACAATCTTGGTTTTATTTTGTCTTTTCAAAGACACTTTCCACCTCTTGTTTTCCTCGTTGGGCATTCAGTTTCTCAGCAGAAATTGAACTATACACATGTGAAAATTACTTTTCCTCCCCCCCACTTTAAAAATAAACAACAACAAATCCTGTTCTCTTTCTGGGTTATGCAATCTTTCTAAGAGTCTGGGGTGTTGAATCTGCCCTTTGGTTTGCCACCTTCGGTATGACAACTCATCCAAGCCGTGGATCCTTGAATAGGGGCACGAGACAGAGTCACCCTCTTCTCCTCCCCAAAAAAACTTTCCCCCTCACTTCTCAGAAAGAGCTTGTGTAATTCGTTCAGTGGAAGTAGTCAGTTCTTTCTCTCTCTCTTGGCACTGCATGTGCTTGCATGCCTGCAGCTTCTCCACTGCAGAGAACAAGGAAAAGGTTCACCAGGGTCTGGAATATGTTAAACTCCATTCAACCTAAAGCTTTATATAGTTCCTGTGTCCAGCTGGGTGCGTGTACATGAATGGGGCAATGCGGTGCGTGTACGTGCATTTAAACCTCTTATGCTGAAAATCTGATTATCCATGGCCAGCCATGTGGGGATTTTTTTTTTTTTTTACAATTAATTCCTACTTGCATCGTAACACTGAATTTCACTTACAGCTTGTATGTGCGGTTTGGGGCATAGCATGCATCTGTAGCAGCAAGGAGGATGCTTCTGATTTTTCTTCTACTGTTACTTTGAAATACGAGCACCGAGAAAGCATAGAGGATGTTGTTTTTGTGGGCTGAGCTTTGCATCCCCACTGGCTTGACGTTGGTTTGAGTCCTCATCTCTTCCTCCTAAGGTCCATCAACCACAGCTTCAAGAGGTTGACCTTGCTGGAAGAGGGTTAGGCTAGCTTCTGTCACGCCTTGTGTCATCCACGGCCTGCAGAATGCAAAATGAATCTTTGCAAAGGCTGTGAGTCCCAGCAACTGGCATGCTTTCCACTACTCCAAGCTGGGGAAAGCCCTCTGGGACTCATTGACCTTTCCATTGCTTGCATTGCTTGCAATTTTAGATGGGATGGGCTTCATTGCATTCCTGATTCTCCCACGCCCTTTGGAGCTGTCAACATGACTCTCTTTTCAGGTGTCAAGCACAGAACTGAGCCTTGCTAGAGGGAGGAAATAGAGGAAATTTTTTCACAGCTGCCTAACAGATAGAAAACATGTTTTTCCCCCCTCCTGGTATAGTCAAGTAATAAAATACCCCCTTTGATCAGGAGGTCAGGCTATTTCTCTACAAGGAAAAAACTAAATTATGTGTAGAAAATTGGCAACTGATTTCAGGCAGACAACAGTGAATTCTTCGTTGTGAAATGCATAATGAATTTATAGAAGAGATGAGATAGGGCTTAGATAGATTTACATGAGGAATCAGACATATTTTTTGAAGAATGTGACTACCATACAGTATATTAAATATAAGGAAAATCATGTTCAATCAGATTATGGGCCTTTAATCCAGCAATTGTAGTGAGAAGTGCAGAAGCAGGTCCTGAGGACAATTAAGGTGAGGCACTATTTGATACGGGATTCATTACCAGCATTCATAGGCTCTATAAATCATCTTTAACTCTTTTCATCGTGGTGGCTACCATTGTGGGGCCCGAAAGACCAGGTCCACGTGTGAAAGTTAAATTTATTGCTAATGGCCTATGTATAGGAATCCATCTCATAACAGTCAGCACCTGGTTAGAATAAGATACGGGTCAATGGCACTTAAAGTGGGGTTGGACTTAGTTCACTTGTAGCTATGTAGAGATTCTAGGCTGACTTCTCTTTTCACGCCAGCCCAGGTTCTGCCATTCCTTCTGCACTATTGTATTTTCTGATAATGAGTTCTGTAATTTGCATTGTAGGATCAAATAGCTATTCTCGACCTCCTGTTATTCAGCTTAAATTGAATAAACCCAGATTTTAATTCTGTGAAAGAGTGAAGGCAACTTCATTCCTTCTCCAGCTCCTTGAAATTTTGAAGAGAATTTTTCCGAATCCCACCATATTCCCTTGATAGTACAGTAGGCAGAACTACTGTGTGTTGTTGAACCATATAAAATGTAGCATATCAGGTTAACATTTTCATTGAGCTTTCTGTGGTGGCCACAGATCTCTTTATGTGACAGGCAAAATGCCCGTTTTCTTTTGTTTGAAGACATTTTTTGAAATCTCACTATTCCTTTTTTATTTATTTAACCATTTAAAATGTTTTAGTATCACCATAGAATTATAGAATTGGAAGAGTGCAGCAATAAACAATAGCACTTACACTTATATACCACTTCATATTGCTTTACTGCCCTCCCTAAGCAGTTTACAGAGTCAGCAAATTGCCTCCAACAATCTGGTCCTTATTTTACTGATCTTGGAAGGGGTTCTACCACAAAACCGCGGACGACAAAATCGCGGTCGACGAAAGTACGTATGTGATGTCATCACAGCGCGACGAAAAAGATCGAAAAATGTAAAAATAAAGCTAAAACCTTCCCCTAACCCCCCCAAACCTAACCCTAAACCTAACCCTAAACCTAACCCTTAACCTAACCCTAAACCTAACCCTAAACCTAACCCTTAACGTAACGAAAAACCTAACGCTAACCCTTAACCTAACGCTAAACATAACGCTAACGCTCTAACCCTAACCCTTAACCTAACCCTAACCCTTAACCTAACCCTAACCCTTAACCTAACCCTTACCTTTATGTGAATCGGCTTGCTGTAATTTAATTTTTATTTCAATTTTTCGATCTTTTTCGTCGCGTTGTGATGACGTCACATACGCGATTTCGTCGACCGCGCTTTTGTGGAACGCGCTTTTGACGGGTCACGCTTGGAAGGATGGAAAGTTGAGCCAACCGTGAGACCCTCAGGTTGAACTCCTTGTTGTGGGCAGAGTTAACCTGCAATGCTGCATTCTAAACACTGTGCCATTACAGCTCCTGAATGGTGCAGATAAGGAAATTAAAGCTGCATGACAGCTGTCCAGCCTGTGTTGAAATAGTTCCAAGGAAGGAAATCTCCTCTTCTGAGTAATGAGTAATTGGTTCCACTGTTAAATTCAATGTGGAAGTTTAGGTTTGTGGTGTTTTATTCTAAACATTTAGCTAGAATTCCCTTCCTTTCATCTTCCTAGCGTTATTCCCACAGGCACAGGATCTGCTTTTCGGATTGTCAGATATGCACGATCA